TTATCGACGGTGTTCGACGACTTTCGGCCCTGCTCGCTAACGATCTCCATTATTATTACTTTTAGATATTATTGCTTTGGATTTTGCAACTACGGAATAGACTATTTACTTAATCTTATCGAGAAAGATTTTTTAGAAGTCCCACAGTACCTACGCGTCCAAATTGACCGACAATGCACCAAAAATGCGAAAATATTTTATTTAGTTTATCATTTATTTAACACTGATTGAATTTGAAATTAACATCAACGAAATGAATATTCCATTACAACGTACTTAGCCTTAATCGAAGTTTCATTTTAACATGAACTGAATGTAATATTCACCAAAATTTATATTCCATTACCTTTTTCTAACTCTAATTTCTATTCAAATCTAGGCACCTCCGTATTTGTATAAATCTTAGAAGCACAGGCCGGGAAAAGTGGAAATTAATAGCAATTCTTGCAACGACGGTTTATGCTCGAAGTTCTCCGCGTTCCGCCGGCAGCGGAATTATGAAAAAGTATTTCAAGTTCGTGCATACCGAATCGATTTGCATTCGAGAATCCGAAATTAACGTTATTACATCACGCCACGCGAAACGTTGGATCGCAGCGCCGCAATATTTGCATACTTCTTAATCGGAGCAACGAAATCAGAATGAATCATCGTTAAAAGGAACGCGACTCGATCGCGCAACATATTTCGCATAAATTTTTTCTCCTTTTTTTTTTCAAGTTCCATAGCACGCCTTCAGTCTCGTTCAATCAAGAGCTATTCTTTTAGCGTACAATACGATCGCGAGTTAAATAGATTTCGTGCTGACGTCGCTGAACTCGACCTCGATTGAGAATCGAATGAATCGTTTTATCACTCGACCTTCTCCGACACTTTTAAACGAATCGAAGTTATCGGAGTACTCTAAGGAACGTTATGAATTTCAAACATTAATCCGCGAGATCGTGTGCACACCGCGAATCTCCCTGGAAAATTACATTCCTTCGAAATAATTACGTCAGATATCGTTTCGTTGAGAATATTGAATATAAAAGATATATGTATTAACCTTGGAACAACAGAAGTTTTAATACGTGATCCTCATAAAATTTGTAATAATAGACTTTCTTCGATTTCTTCGTATATTAATTGTAGTATTGAAGTGAATCTATTTATTTTTCAAATCATCTCGGATATGTAACGCTTTTAAGATATCAACAATTGCAAAATATTTGAGAAATCAATGATACTGACAGATACGGTTATTCTAATGTTAAAGGCTTCTTTAGATTCCTCAAATTCTATTCTGCTATGTTTCATAGGAATGTGTGAATATTATTGTAAAACAGAATATAAACTTCAATGAACGTTTAATGAACCTTTTATCGTATCTCTAACTTAATGGAATCTTCGATAAAAGATATAAATTAATAGTTAATTTGACGTATTAAACGTGAGCATTAAAGAAACTCTAATTTGCACAGAGACAGGCACTGTAATCGTAGAAATATAAAAAACACAGTGTAACTGTCGGAATAATTTTTATTTTGATTTAAGACGCGTGTTCTATGTGTCATTGTTCTACGAACGATTTTCCACGTTCGATCTACAACAGAAATAATCAGAGGGAAGGTAACTGAAAATATACGACGGTTTCTCGAGCATCTTAATATAAATGTTTATTCTCGTTCGTCGTTGATCCGACCGGAAATATATAACAAACGCAACATAGCAAAATGACGTAAAATATAAACGCACGTGTGAAACAACGAATGCAAATGAACCTCGTAACGCGTGCAAAATTGCGTTTCCGATTTATACACAAGTACAGTCCCCACGAAAGGTGAGTTAACGATTCTGCGAATGTGACTATTATCACTTAAAATGTCAAATTCTCACTTGTCATTCGTCGTAAATATATTTCGAATTTTTCATTATCGTGTTTGCGTGTTATTATCGAAACTATAATCGTTGTTTTTCGTCAGTCTTTGTAACAGTTTCATGAAGGCATTAATTTAATTCTCGAATCTACTATAAATCCGTCTCGGTAATGATGACACAATTATTACGAGTGCCTTATTTAGAGGGACGATAATTGAGTTCTTCGAATATCAGTGAAACACTTGAAATTATCGTGTATACCTTCCTTATACACCGTTCGTCACCTAATTCTGCTATTTTAAATTATTTATGAACTAAAATGTTTCGCGGTAAAAATGATAAAACTTAATCATTGATTTTAATGAATAACACTTTAAGCATTATGTAAATACACGAGAAACCATTTAAAGGATACCTTGAAATCGGTAATAATCATTTCTAAACGAGTCACGAACGGCGCGGTAAAAGTTACGCGTTGAAAACCTCAAAACAATAGAACTATTACATTGTACAACCCTCGTAAAACCACACTGCTTTTGTTTGAAACATTTTTGCACGCAACAAACATTTCACCTTGTAAATTTACATGATCCCAAAGCAGAATTAAAATACGACTACCGTTTAAACGATTCATCGTTGTTCAATCTTCAATTAAATTAGCATTTCTAAGGTCACTGTTATTTATGGAAACAAGTATTATTGATTCCAAATTAAATTATTGAAAAATTGTTATGGATTCTATATCGAATTATTACAAAATTATTGTTGATTCCAGATTGAATTGTTGAGAAATTATTATTGATTCTAAACGGAATTATTAAAAAGCTATTACTAATTCTAGAGTGAGTTATTGAAATTATTAAAAAATTATTGTTAATTCTATACTTAATTATTGAGGAATTATTACTGTTTCCAGTTTGAATTATTAAATAATTTCTAGCT